TGCTGTGGTACATTCTGTGGAAGGGGATGTGATAAAGGTTGTTGGTGCTGTTGATGTTGTTGAGGAGATGGTATTGGTGAAGGTTGCTGTTGTTGGGGTGGAGGTAAGGTTGATTGAATGGGTGATTGTGATTGTGGAGGTTGCGGAAAGTGTTTTCTATTCAACGCAGCTTGAAGATTTTCAGGAACCGGCAAATTACGAGCAATATAACGGTAAGCCATTACTTGAGCTTTCAATTGCTGATGCTGAGCATAAGATAACAGTGATGGCTTCATGTTAGGAGCATTGCCATAAGGACTAGTTGGTTGCATTGTTTGAGGTTGAGGGTCTCCCATTGACATCGGAGAAGCCATCGTTGACTTGTTTGAAAATTGGTGTACCCAAGCCTAAGGAATGTTGAAATAACTTACAATTTCAATGACAAAATCACATAAACATGTAAGAAAATTAATTCACAGTCCAATAACATGAAAATACGCTGGTTACGCTTGAAACAAGTATACTTGTTACTTTACGCCATCTACTGGTGATAGGTAAATTACATTTGTAGCTTTTTCAAATTATGAAGAGTCTCCATTAGAGACTTCGAAACTTTGACCTCCGAACAGCATAATATATCACCTGGAGTAATATAGCTCATAAATCAGATCTGACAGTTATATTTTCGGAATTAGAAATGTACATAATAGATCTTTCCACAGAAAAATATCAATGTTAGTCAGATTCATAAATCTCTCTCTCAGCTATCATAATATTTCACTGCTTGTATATTTGGACTTTTTAGATAATTTTTCTCGAACTCCGCGAAAAAATGTATCGACAGTTAGCAATTTGCAAATATCATGAAAGAATAAGTTTTGTCAGACAAAATCTAAACAATTTTCGGTTTATCTTCCTTCCCGGATTCCTGCATCTGTCGCATTTTTGTCCCCTTTTGACCAATTGTTGAACTGACTATTCGTCTCAAAATATTTAAACTAGATTTATTTATTGACAAGTTCATCCAGAATCTGAATTTTAAAGAATTCTTTTGATATGTTAAATAGTTTGGCTAAAAGCTGTTTACGAAGTTTCCTACTTTAAACATCGATTTTCCGTAAATAAAAATGACACAATAAGCAGGTTTTATTATTGTTAGTAGTTTATTTTTTTCTGAACACATCGAAAGATGCTTACATCACGAGATAATTTTCTATGAAGTTTCTCCATTCAAACACATAATCAACTCAATAATCAATCTTGAAATCTTTCATAACTTTGATAAATAATAACTTACCTAATCCCTGGTTTCGTCTTCAACTCATCTCTTTTATTTTCTTGTCCATCTCTCAAACTAGGCAAAAATGTATTAAACCTAAATATTCAATTTCACATTCTTTATTAATTTTACCATTATCCTTTTTCTTTGTGTATTCATTAATTTTTGAAACAAACATGAAACATCGAACCCGAAATTCAAAATATCCACCAACTGTACATGTAATAACTACGGTGGCGCCATACTAGTTGTGTTTGAGAGAATAAAAGGAAACATTGTAAACAATAACAATTTTCTGGTTGTAAGACCAAAGATGTCAATTTTTGTTTGGTTTAATTATTCATATTTAAGTGAAAACATTAGTTATTATTATTTTAATTATAAGTGTATTTAATGTCTTTAATGGTTATCCGATCAGGAGAAGTCCGAAGAAGGTACCAATGATGAATATATTGAAAAGTTGCAGTTGAAAAGCTATTCAACTGTTATTCGGTTACTAGTTTTTACTAGAAAAACTGGTTACTTGGTTACAATTAGTAAACCATTATTATCTTCACTTCAAACGTATTAATAAATACAAATTGATCTCTGATTTTTGTATCAATTGGTTAAACATTTATGTAAAGGTGAGTAATCATTAATCATTTTTGTTGTTTTATTTTTCACTCTTTTTGTCTTCTGCTTCAAAAGCTCATCTTATGGTTGTAATATGATAATAATAGTTGATAACTTTATCATATCTCTTTGTTTTTGTTTTCCTTTCTGTGTTTGTAGTGGTAATACCATTGTACTTATAACTATCATATCTAAGCTCTTCATTCAGAGGCATTAGCGAATTTTTGTCAACTGGTTTGATAGCTGATTTTTACACTGGTCAATAACCGATAGAAATTGTTTTGAAATATTGTTTAATCAATGGATTGATTCCATGGATTTTTGTGTTTCATTCAATTCTTGACTTTAGTCAATATAGACCCATAATGATTATCGATAGATATTTTGTTTTTGATTTGGCTTATACAAGTTGACTTCATCGAAAGTAATTTACAATAACTGAATAACCAATAAATTTCGACAAGAAAGATTAAGCGCAATTATTGAGCCTGGATTTTGAATTTTAGAAAAAAAAAGATCCAAAATGTAAAATTCCTAGAAAGAAATATGGCGAGAACCATAGAGATGCTAAGAAAAGAAAAATGTCTCGAGGCTATTTGATTTCAAACTTTACGTTTGGTCTAGTCGACTTAGCCAAAAGATACAATAGTCCCTCGATTTTTTTGCAAAAACTGGCTGAGAAAAATGTGGCTTCACTTTTGGAATTGAGGATTTTAACTGGCTATGACTAAGCTGCAAAGTTCTCGACTCACTCATTTACTAAAGTGGACTCTGCAAGATATAGATAGAGCTACCGATATTCATCATCTTGGGTTTTTGTTAAACTCTTCAAAAAATTCTCCCACCTTTTTTTGTTCTGTTTGATATCTTTGTACTTCTTTGTTTACATTATGTTCACACTTGATTATCTTTCTACGTTTCAATTTGTCTTTGCTAATTATTACCTCTTTCTCTGTTTATTACTTTCATATATACAGATTGTTGCTCACTGAGTTCATCATTGCTTGATTTATAAATCAACAAAGACAAACTTGGACTATACATTGGAACATCAAGACTTGTGCCCTTCGTTCAAAATTTGTGTTTTACATTTTTGATTCTTCTTTTTAGTAAAAAGAAACCAAAGCGTCCAATTCAACAAAAATGAGCCTAATGGAAAACGATGATCAAGGCAATTACTTATATGTAAGATTTAATCAAGACTCAACTTCACTCTGTCTCGGTACTCGTACTGGATTCCAGTTAGTTAATTTCCTAAGCATTGACGATCTTAGAACAATCTCGGGATGTGTAGATGAAGAAATTTATATTGCTGAAAGATGTTTTTCATCGAGTATATTGGCCTATGTGTCTCTCCAATCGCCTCGTAAATTGAACTTCCTCCATGTGGAAAAAGACATTATAGTTTGCGATCCAAAGTGTTATAATAACTCCATTTTGGGCGTTCAATTGAGTCGAAAACGAATCGTTGTGGTTCTAGAAGATGCAATTTATATCCACGATGGTTTGGCTGGAGATTTCATGACCACTCTACATCGAATCAAGAAAACTCCATGCAACACAAGAGGCTTGGTTGCACTTTCACCAAGTGAGGAAAATAGTTTACTAGCTTATCCAGGTGGACCCAATACTGGTGAACTAATTATCTATGATTGTGGTAACCTAGTGGATAAAATTATTATCCAAGCTCATGACAATCCACTGGCAGCAATGACTTTTGATGCAAATGGAGAAAAAATTGCTACTGCCAGTGAAAAAGGAACCATTATTCGGGTTCATCTTGTAGCTGATGGAAACTGCCTTTATGAATTCAGACGTGGTTTCACTCGTTGTGCCAACATATATTCACTCTCATTTGGAGAAAATGCACTTTTTCTATGCGCTTCCAGCTCAACGGAAACTATACATATCTTTAAACTTGAGACTCCCCGACCAAAAGAAGAAAGTACAAGCTGGCTGGAATACCTTGGTCGAGCCTCTGAATATTACCTACCAGCCAATATTTCCAAAATTTTCTCACAAGAAAGGTCTTTTGCTTATGCTAGGTTACCGATGAAAGATTTGAAGGCTGTTGCGGCTATTTCCACTGTAAACGATGAACCTTGGTTAGTAGTGGCCTCATATGATGGTTATGTTTATATTTATAGTTTGAATTTGGTTCAAGGTGGTGAATGCAGTCTTGTTAGACAACGTAAATTCGATGACCTACCAGCTTTTAAATCAGACCGTCGAGACTCGCTAACAACATATGCCAACTCTAGCCAAATAGCCACTATTCCTGTGACTAACATGAATTAATTGATCACCAGATCTTGCTTTTAATTTCTTCTTTCCATTTATTCAAAATTTCATCTTCTCACAAATGATCACCAACGATTCCAATGTACAAGTTACTAACTTAAGTTTACAAAAAAAAATCAATATACTTAAGGACCATGTAAATAATTATTTTTACAGCTAATTCTAAATGTGATTGTAATTTCAAAACATGTTTGATAAAAAATAATTTATTGCTCATTTGTACATAAATCTATAACATGGTTTAAGTTGACATGGCTGCATATATTACGATTGGGGAAGTTTCAGATAACTTAATAATTTGTCCCGAAACGAATAAATTTCATGAAATTTCTTCTCGCGCTTTAAAAATATTTTTTTCACAGCTCTTCTTTAACTAGAACATTAAACCTTCGTTTCATTTACAAAAAAAACTCGCTGAGTTATCCTAATCGTAAAAATTAATACAAACAAGTTCATTTCGAAAATAAAATAATTATAGAAAATTACGAAATAAAGCCATACTTGAAACTACTTAAGATGCTCATCGAGAAATTCTGTCACGGTATCTGTGTCCCATTTCGTGAGAGATAATTCTTCAGCAAGATTTCCGTTTTCATCCAATAACTTCATTGTAGGCAATGTTCCTCGAACCCATTTGATGGCTAGATTTTCGTATTGCTTTGGACGATCACTCTTGATGAAGGCTTGAATTTGAGGGTAGTTTGCTAGATTACAGCCACAAACTTCCAACCGCGCTTTTGTGTACTTCTGAGGAATGAATTGATGTGTTCATCAATAACTGCTCAAAACGGTACTAAAACTCTAATATTGTAAACATTACTAACCTTGCGAAGCGAGCTTTTGGCATCTTCCTTTACACAACGAAGACAATCTTCTTTAATGGTATTTAGACCAAACTTGGCTAATTCCAAACATCGTTTGCGAGTTAACTCCTCTCTACGAAAACCTAATCGGGTACACTCTTCATCGGATAATTGATTAGAAGCAGAAACGGTGACAATCTGGAAGAATTGAAAATAAAAATAATAAGTTAATGGAATTAATATGAATGTATTCATTAATAATATAGACAGCACTGAGGTATTGATAAAATTTACATTGAACGGTTTTGATACTTACCAGAACAAAGGAGGACAGCCACAATAAAATATTCATGATTAGCTTGCTTCAGAGTGGTGATTAAGGTTTAAATCTATTAACGAAAATTGAAAGTAAAACAAAGAAACAAAACGTTTGAGGTGAGTATGTTCTATTTTCTTTGTTCAAGAGGCTGAGTTGGAAGTATGATTTTCAAGATAGTTATCGATCATAAACAAATCTCAGATTCAAACTGAGCTCATTGAACATAGATTTGATAACTGTTGGAATAGATTGGCTGATTACCAGTCTGATTAAGTGAAAATCTTTAATGAAAATTAAGATTTGACGTTGAAATCTTAGAGTTCCTAGAATTTTAAGATTCCTTATTATTGCTTTTTCTTGCCAATTTGCAACAATACAAAGAATATCGTTAAACAGGTAACCGAAAATTGACAGTAATCTCGCAAAAAGATAAATACTAGTTTGTCTATATCAAAAACAACTGTTAAACAGTAATAATCAGAGAAAAATAGATAGACAAGGGAATGATGAGTCAGATGTTTTTTACCTACCTTGAAGGATTCAGGTTTTAATCAATTTCCTTTGAACTCCATTCAATAGTAAACTCACTAGATTTGAAATTAGCTAATCAAAATAAATAAATCACTGGTTCAATAAATCAATTCAACAATAATTAATCCAGGATAAATCAATTAACCATTGATAAATTTACAAAGTATTCAATCCCACTTTATAAACGACAGGACTCGGTTAAATTGATTCAAATTTAATCCAGATGATGTCACTGCTGTCTTTTGTTATTTTTTTAATTTTGAAATCTGATTTCAACAAAATTAATCAAAGTCGATTTCCCTTGAAAATTACCTTTCTAGTAACAGGGAAATTTTCGTTTTAAATTTTTAATTTCATTTATAAGTTCTTAAGCAATGACACTATCACCTGATTATATTTTCAGTCAAAATTTGTATCCTGTAACATCAGTTTGTTTCTTCTCTGTTTTCAGTGTCGATTATTTTGTTACAGGTGACGAGAAAGGTGTCATTAAATTTTGGAATCTCACCGAATACAGGAGACTGTTGACATTTGAAGCTCACAATTCCAAGATTATTACCATTCAAAAGGATGAAGGTGCTGCAAAACTTATTACTCAAGTTCGAGGTGAAATAAAAATTTGGAATTTTGTCGAATGTCCTCTTAATTTACTATTGTGTCAAGTTTATAAATCATCATTGACAAGTTTGTGTACCTGCTCCTATTTGAGTCTAGAAGATGGAAATTATCTACTTGCCTCTTGCTCAGCCTCTGACTCTAAATATATTGATATTTTCCATCAAAAATCTGAATTTGAGAAAATCGTGGAACCCAAATTATCGGATGAAACTGGAATGCTTATGGCTCTGAAATTTATTTGTAACGCTGATGAAAATCGGATTTTGCTTTTAACTGGACATGAATCAGGAGTTTTGAAGTGCTTCCAGATTACATATGATAACGAGAATGGAGTGGAAGAAACCAAAGAAATGGATTCGCTAACCTTATTTGATGATATGATAACATCACTGGATTTTGATGATAATACTCGTAGAGGTATTTGTGGATCAGTTTATACAAAATTGACTATTTTTGGCTTGAAAGAGACTAATATTGGTGATTGCTTTTATAAATTGCTAGCCCTTAAATCGGTTGAAATGAAGAACCCAGGAATCTCATCAATCAAAATAAGACCTGATTCTCGTGTTGTTGCAATTTCTTGCTGGAACTCAAGAGTTTATTTATTTTCATGGAAATCTATGAAACTTCTAGCAGTCATAGATAAGCATAAACAGTCAATAAATGCTATAGCATTTTCATCGCAACTTTTAAACGATGTAAAGAAAATTTTAGCCATTGCTTCAAATGATAAAAC